TCACACCGACTGGTGGGAGGGTCTTCTCAGCGTGGGGACAGCTGGAGGAGACCCCAGAGGGGCTCTGGGGTTTCAAAGTTGAGTCTGAAGTCTCATTGTGGTTCGGTCCTTAGCCAGCTCCGTGGTCCTGGGCAAGTCACAGCCCCTCCCTGGCCAAAACCTCATCTGAAACACAATAAGACCAGGAGACCTGTGGCCCCTCAAGTCCAGCTGTGGGGTTCTGTGCACTCCCTTGCCTGTGGAGGCCTGGGCATCATCCAATAACAGAGACATTAAATGCGTTCTGGGTCTCACCTGCAGTCCACTGGGGCTGATGGGGAAACTGGGAGGTGGAGAATCTGACTCATCCTAAAGATGATCTGAAACTGGAAGTAGTGAGCTGCCTGTCCCTGGAAGTGTGTAAGTAGAAGCCTGGTGACCACTTGGCCGAGGTTAGACTGAATAACATTTGGGTTCCCCGTGGCTGAGGGATTGGCTGGCTGATTGATTGGGCCATTCGTTCATTCACTCACCTTCTTGAGCCCCTAGCACAAGAGTGTCTGGCTTCGGGGGGCGTGGGGAGGCGCTGTTACAATGTGGTTTAAATTCCTCCTGGGATTCTGGGCCCTGTGCCTGAGGAAGTGGAGACCACTGGTCAGGTGGTGGGTGGTAAAGGTCAGAGGGGTCTACCTGGAAGCCCCTGGCCCTGCCTGCTCAACCCTGTGTGTAGGACCCTCCCCTCCCCCACACTCCCAGTGTCCTGGGTTCCCCGTTGCTGGGGGGCAGAGGGGACAGCCTCCCCGGTGACAGGAGTTGCAGCTGTCAGGCTCCGTGTACACACTAGAGCATGCTTAGCATTTGCTGCCTCCATAACGCAACAGAACAGTGAATGTTTACTGCTCGTCAAGCAAAATATCTGCGAATTAAAAAGAAAATCCTTACCCAAGGCATGCTTATTGATTTTAGAGAGAAGGGAAGGCAGGGCAAATGTCGACAGGAGAGAGAAACATTGGTCAGTTACCTCTCACACGAGTGTGGAATGGGGACTGAAGCCCCAACCCAGGCCTATGCCCTGACCAGGAATTGAACCAGCAACCTTTCAGTTTACAGGACTACACTCTAACCAACTGAGACCCACGGGCCCGGGCTATCTGTGAATTCTTAATCCTGGCAAGGTGGCTTTAAGGAATGAGGAATTGAGTGGCGAAGCGACACCAACCCGGCTTAGAGAAGTGACTATCACTCAGCTCCTGGCCGGCCAGCCCCCAGCAAGGCCCTCCTCCGCCGGCACGGTATCTGCCGTGCTTCCGCTCCGGGCCAGGCCAGACCAGGAGCCCCAGACCCCCAGTGCCTGTGCATAACCTGGCTTACAGTCCCCACTCAGAGTCCGAGTTACTGTGTGGCCCAGAAATGCCATCGCTCCTTCCAGGTCCCGGCCCAACTGGCCCCTGCCCTTTCTTCAGGCCTCGGAGCAAGCGTCAGCCCAGCCCTGTCGGACCTTCCCAGACGAGCAGACCCTGCTGCAGAGACCCCTCGTCGCCCTGCTTCAGTTACCCCCACCGCACTTATCCTCATCGGCCTTGTCTCCCCAATGCCAGCCCCACTGGGGGTTATTGTGTTCACAGCTCTGCCCCCAGAGCCTGGAATAGGCACATAGTAGGTGCTCAGTAAATGCTTATTGAATGAATGGCCATAAAGGTCTGTTATTGGTGCAACCAGGTGTGTTGGTGCCAAGCTGCAGCTCGCCTGGCTGGTCTTCACCACACACACACACACACACACACACACACACACACACACACACGGTGACCGGGCTGGAGAATCGCAGACTTGGACCTGGAGGGTGTCCCTAGTGACTGCAGATGAGACTGTCCTGCTTCTCAGGGCCCTCCCTGCTTGGCACTGCATCTGCCCGAATTGGAAGATCCTCCGGGGTTGGGGTCATGTCCAGTCCATTTCCCATAGTCCATCCAGCCATTATCTCCCTCCGTGTCTACACCTCTCCATCCATCCATTCGTTAGTTCATCCGTCCATCTGTCCACCCACCCGTCCACCCACTTACCCACCCATCTGTCCCCCTCCGTCCTCTCCTCTCTAGTTATCACTGTCACCACGTCCCAAGCCCTGCACTTGCCCTCCCGCTTGACCGACTTCTGAGGAGCTGGGCGCTGCCGCAGAGAGCGGTAACCCACAGCAGGAGCTCGCCCCAGCATGGCTGCCTCCCGCCGCAGCACCGGGCAGGGCCGCTGCCCCCACAGTCCTCAGTTGGGGCTATTTTTTCACTCTCAGCCCCCAGCAAATGGCTGATCACAGTACGGTGGAGTGAAGATGGAAACAATGGAAAGAATGAACACGAGATCACAGAGGCATTAAAAGTTCAGCCGCAGCCAATGCATGCATTTATATTCCAGGCGCTGTCCCGTTATTCCACCCAATTAACCCGCAATCCTTTCAGGCAGATATTATTGTCCTCGTGTTACAGATGAGGAAACACGGACTCAGCGAGGCCCTCCCGGCTCCTGGGCGCACAGTTCTCCTCTAAGCGGCCACAGTCTCCGTGGGGCTTCACGGCCCGCACTCGGAGTGTAACGGCAGGCCCCTCCCTCAGGTAGGGCTCTCTGCGCCTGTACACTGACTGCGGCCTGGGACTGGGCCACACCAGGGGCTGCATCCGCGGGCTCAAGTCAAAGCTCTGTCCCCAGACCTTTCGGGTTCTTGTGAGTTGCTCATCCATTTTGCCCCAGGACCTTGAGATCCGCTCGCCCCACCAACTCCTGCTTTTCAACCCTGGGCAGTCACTACTGCCAGGGAGACTTTGCCCTCCCAGGGGTCTTGGTTTGTACCCCAGACATCCCCCAGGTTACACCGAGGCTTCTGGAAGGCTGTTGGACTGTCTCAACAAGGTGGTTTGAGCCATCTCGGTGAAGGGATGATGGTGTTCCTGGCTCGCAGGGGCTGTGGTTGGGTGTGGCGGTCCCCTGTAGTTAATCTGCTCTGTCTCTACATTATACTCAGAACTGCTGTAATCTCCCCTTCACTGAGTGTGGGCCACCGCTGAGCCAGGCCCCAGTGCCCTGGGCCAACCGACGGGCCAGCCCCAGGAACAACAAGAGCCAGCCCCAGCCCTGAGGCTGGTGCGCTGCCTAAATGAGTTCCACTCAGTCTGGCCATTCACACACCGTCCCCAGGTTTCTGATGATGTGAAACAGAACAGCCTGCTTTGGGTTGACACTCAGTCCTGCCCCTTTCCTTTAGCTATCTGGGGACCCAGCTGTGATCCGGTGACACTGAGGTATAGTGGAGCCTCGGGGGGCGGGCACATTCTAGGGGCCTATTGAGGGAGGACACCAGCCTCATCGGACAATGAGAAGAAGTTGCTTCAGCCCGCAGTGGGGGGGCTGTGTGGAGGGTGGGGGTCAGGGGTTCAGAAGGTTCAACATCACCCCAAGCCTGTCTCTATGGTTCCTTGCAAATGCTGAGCCTGCTTGTTCCTATTTGACAGTCTCGCCCCCACAGGACAGGGCTGGTGAAGCCGTGGCATCTGCCAGTGAGGTCACTCGCCAGCCTACAGGCTCGGATTCGAGTTTCATTTTTGGCCTTTTCATCCCGGCGGCTTCGAGAATGAAGAGGTGCTTTTAGCAAGCATAGACTGTTTCTGCGCAGGGATCTTGAGCCAAGGATTTGGGACTTAGGAGATGGCCTTGTTTCTCTCAGGAGCTGGCCCCGAGAGAATCGGCCGCGCACACCCACAGTTTAATTCCTCGGTCTTGTCATTCTCTCCGAAGGCTGGCGTCCCAGTCTCCAAGCTGTGCCTTCAGCGGGCTGTCCTTGGTTCCAGGTGGTTCCCGGCGGCGAGTCTCAATTCCTGTTTCCCTCTGCATGCTGGAGGACGCCAGAGCCCTTACCACGTGCTGGGTTTTCACTGTCTCCAGCCCGAGCAGCCAAGATAACCCACCCCAGCTTCTCTGAATTTCCTCCAACATCTATTGCCTGCAACCGCTCCTGGCACCAATTTCTATATAAGGCAACATTCTTAGCTGTGGGCATCAGAAACAAACTCAGGTTAACTTAGGCAGAAGGGGATGTTCAAAGAATAGATATGCAAAATGGTATTCAAAGAATGTTGGGTGACTAATGAACCACGAATGAGCTGGAGACCTGGGCTTGTGGCATGCAAACAAGATCGATATTCTCCAATGGTCCCCGAGGCCAGCGGTGCAAACAGCTGCAGGGCGCAGCGGCCCGGGCACCAGCGGGTCCGTCATCCACCCAGCACCGGCACCGATGCCCTGGGGGCTCAGCAGGGAGGCGCTCTGCTTCTCTGCAGCACGAGTCCTGGTTTTTAAATCGTGAGTCGGTGCGTCTGGTTGGAGAGCCTGGACGGCCCAGGGTGCAAGGGAATGAGAGACCACAGGTGGCTGGTAGTTTCAGTTTCTGTAGAGAGTGGTTCAAGACCCGTGATGTAGGGTTCAGAGAGCGGGGGTGCAAAACAGCGAAACAAAACAGCAGCCACATGTCTGTCCCCTTCTGTGCCCCGCTTCTTTCAATTCCTCCAGGCTAGCAGAGAGGGACAGCACCTGCCCCAGTCTCTGTACCTTCCGACTTATAATCTCTACTTGGCCTTAAACTTGAGGACAGAGAACTACAGGTCCCACTGGACCCCAGGTCCTAGCACAGTGCAGGCACGTCACCAGCACCCAGTGCGTGTCCGTGGATGACTTTAGGGGTCTGTCTCTCAGCCCAGGATGAGGGTGGGGTGAGTGAGGTGCTGACCTCAGCAGAAGATTCCAGGGGGCACCAAAGCCTCAGTGACCAAGATAAGTAATATTTTAATGCAATATGCACACACACATATATATATATAGAGAGAGATTTCCCCTCTTGTCTTCCTTTCGCCAATGGCTGGAGCTGGGAGATGGTAAGCCACTGGGGGTAGAAATGGGAGAACAATAAAAGCAACCCACTGGACTCCCTGAGTGAACAGGGAAAGCATGAGAAAAGGTGTGGGTTGAAGGAAAAGTGGAGGTACCGGGGTTCGAACCGGGGACCTCGTACATGGGAAGCACATGCTCTACCACTGAGCTACAACCCCCACCCCAACCTTCCCTGAAATAAAAATGGACACCAGGATTCCGCATGAACCAAGTATCAAATTTCAGTGAAAGCCAGGCTCCAACCCCTTTCTTGCGTGATGCCTCACTTGCCTCTCCCTAATCCTGACCCTGTCCGTTCCTGTATTTAAACAAAATATAAATATCTGTATTTAACGTTTTGTGACTGAGCCGAGAGCTTCACTGGCCTCACCCCAGTCAGTCCCTGCCCTGCTGTCCTGGCTCCACCGTCACTGTTCTTTCTTCTCCATGTTGTGCCCTGGGTTTCTCGTCTTCACTCTTTCTTGCTCCAACCATCAAGACCCCCCTCCTGGGTTCCCCCACCCCCAAAATCTTCCGCCACTGTCTGCTTTGCTCTCAGCTGCCCCGATAGCTTCCTGGGGGCAGAGTGGTCAAGTCATTCCTTTGCTGAAAACCTTCGGTGAAAACCCCAGGTGAGGGCCACACTCACCTTTAAGACATGCAAAGCCCTCTCTCCTGAGCCCGCAAAACCGGCCCCGCAGGCGTGTAAAACAAATGGCGTGACCTCTGTGGTCGCACACCCATCTATGTCCACAGCAGCATCACTCACAGCCTCCAGAGCTGGCCGTGGAAGGATGAATGGATCCGCAGCTGCGGTCTGTGTCCGCAGTGGAGAGCTGCTCAGCCTGGAAAAGGAAGGGAATTCCGACAGAGGCTGCAGCCCCGGTGAGCCTTGCCGGTATTATGCTCAGCGACACAAGCCAGTCAGAAGACCTGTGTGATTCCACTTCTCTGAGGTGCCTAGTGGAGTCGGAGTCACAGAGACAGAGGGGACGGTGACAGAGGGGACAGAGACAGAGGTGGCTCCGGGGGCTGCGGGAGAGGGCGGTGGGGCCGAATGGGGACGGAGCTTCAGTTTTGCACGAGGAACAGGGTTCTGGAGACGGACGTGGTGATGGTCGCCCAGCAATGTGAATGTGCTTAAAACCACTGGATTACACATTAAACATGGTTAAGATGGTAATACTTTACCACGATAAAACTCCTGAAAAATACTTTATCACTCCTGTGGCCAGAAGTGAGCTTTTTCTCCCTTGAATCCCTCCACGCATCTCCCCAAGGTTTCCTTGAGTGGGAGAGACAGGGCGGCAAGGTCCCTTGGGGAGGGTGGGATCTGCGCCCCAGCCTCCAGTCTGCTCTGGAAAGGCCTGGCACCGGAGGGTGCTGGGTGGGTGAGAGAACAAGCCACAGGGCTCAGCCTCGGGCCGAAGCTCCCGAGAGCCCAGCAGCTCCCGTGAGCCCCGTGGGTGCGCACGCCTGCCCTCCACAGCCAGCAGGTTCCCAACTCTGCCAGGAAGCGCTGAGCACACACTTCTCTCCCCTCACGCGTCTGAGGATCAACGGGACTTGGTTCCAAGACATGGCTGGGCCCAGGTTCACTCCGCCTGCCTCTCACCCTCGAGGGACCAGTGGCTCTCTGGTCTGCTCTTGGCGAAAGGCAGGAGCCTAAGAGGACAGTTGTCTAGCACGTTTCTGACTTTTGCTCCTGTCCTGTCCCAAGCCTGCAGCCCAGGGGTGGGGGAGGCACGCACAAGGCGGACATGCGGCCCTGCGCCGGGGCAGTGAGAACAGAGGCCAGCGCTCCAGTCCTGCATGTCCGCAGTGTCCCACAGAGCATGGCCTGCTGTGGGCACCGGAAGAGCAGGAAGCTTCTGGTTACCATGTCAGGCACTGCAGCGGGTGAAGGCCTTGCCATGGTGCCTGCCCCTCAGGGCCTGCCATCCAACATCAATTGAACCCCACTGTGTGCCAGGCCCTGGCTAAGGCCTCATGGGTACCAGGGGCATGGAAACCAGCAAGACAGGGTCATGCCCTCAAGAAGCTCACGGGCCACTGGGTAGACAGGCAGGTCAACGCCCTGAAGATGGAGTGACAGGGCTGTGAGGCTGTGAGGCAGGGAGGCTGTGGGAGCCTCAAGGAGCTGGGTCTCTAACTTTGCCAAAAGATGGAGGGGCTGGGGGGGGGACTGGCAGAGACTCCTGGCCCCAGGCTATGGAGGTGGGGTGGACATTCAGCATGTGGGTAAGGGAGGAGGGGATGACCAGCATGAGCAAAGGCACCCGAGAATGAGAGAAGGAGAAGGGGTGTTTAGGGGCACGGGTGCATGGCCGGAGGGCAGGATGTGGGCAAAGGCGGGAACAGGTGGGCGGTGCGGTGGTGCCCGCTGACGTGCGCACCAGCCACGGAAAGAGCCAGGGTAGCCCGAGGGCGCCGTCTCTGCTGGGCCTCACCTCCTGGGCCTCCACCACTGCCTGCATTCTCACACCCCGCCTTCTGCACCCTGTGTTGTCATCGCCTGTTTGCCTTGGCCCTGAGGCAGAGACGGAGGGCGTCCTGCTCCCCACGCGGGTCCAGGGGAGTTTGGAGCTGGAGGGAGAGACTGGTATGGCCTGGGGTGACAGAGGAGGATGCCTTGAAGGATGGGGTGGGAGCGAACCTGAACTTGAGGCAGGCTATCCTGCAATAGGCAGGTGAGGCTCCAGAGGAAGCGAGTTCAGCCAGGGCCAGGAGGTGGGGTGGGCAGGGCCATGTCCTAGGAGACAGCTGGGGGTTGAGGATGGAGGGTTGTGTGGGCCAGACGGTGGCAACTCCCAGCCAGAGGTGACAGAGGAGGGGCTGGTGCAGCCTGGGTCCTGAAAGGGTTATGTAGTCACATCTGTTTTCTTGCAAAACCAGGCAGCTCCTTGGGGGGTGCGCTTGGGGGGTGAGGGTGGGGACTGCAGGACTGTGCGTGGGGTGGGGTCTGAGGTGGGGTGGCCCAAACATTCACTCAACAAACGAATGTTTGCCGAGGACATACTAAGGGCCAAGCCCTGTCCTAGGTGCTGGGATACAGCTGTGGATGGGAGAAAGTCCCTGTCCACACAGAACTGACACCCTAGTGTGGAGAGAGGGCAGCAGAAGTGGATGAAAGAAACAGGTACCACACCTGAGACTTGCGTTGAAGGGCTGCTCTCTGCCCACCTACTATGTGCCAGATACAGAAAGCTGAGATCCCCGCATGCCAGGAGCTCAGCCTAGCGGGGCTGTGCATTCGCCCCCTGCTCCGTGGGTCTGTGGCCAGTGGTCTGTGTGCCTGGGCGTCTGTGCACAGCTGTCCGTGGGCGAGGCTCTGCGTGCAGCGGTGTTTTGCTGGCAGCTCCGTGTCAGCCTGAGTGTGTGAGTGTGTGAGGGGAGGGAAGGGAGAGCTGTGACTCAGACCTTCCCCAGCTGTGGCAGAAGCTCGGTCTGGGGGGGCTTCTCCCACACACCTGTCCCCTTGGCTCTGGGGTGGGGTTGGGGCGCCCTGCGGGTGCCTGTGACTTTATGGAAAGAAAGGCAGGGTGCAGCCAGAATGTGTTTGCGTTTCCTGGGTGATTGACAGTGGGGAGCAGGCTGTCTTGCCGTGACGGATGTAGGAATGTTTCTGCTAATCAAGGCGGAAAGCAGGGGCGTGGGGGCTGCCGCCGGAGGCCGCCTGGCCCTGGATTGTGACCACCTGTTGGGGCCTGGGAAGCCATCAGGCAAGGCCAGGGGGAGGCTCCCAGACCCAGGGGACGCCACTGCTGGCTCCCACGTCCCAGCGAGCCTCCGGTCAGGCACTGCTCACCAGCCCCCAGCTCCCCTCCGGGGTGGGTGGGAGAACAGGGCCTGGGTTCAGCCGGGAGGATGACCCAGCTTGTGGATGGGTTCTGAGTGGGGGAGCGGGGTGCTGGGTGTCTACAGGGAAGCAGGGAGGGGAAGTGCCCATCTTTCCAAGGCTCCTCCTTGCGAGCCCCCTGTCCCCGGCCAGCCCTGCCCGGGGCAGCCCCAGGGCACCCTCCCCCGTTTCGAGGTCATGGTATAAATAGATGCCCAGGACAGTCAGCAATGGTGAGAAGTTACCCAGACAGAGAAACCGAGGTGGGCCCGAGATCTCAAGGGGTAGTGTGGTCATCCCAACCTCAGGGGTCCTACCCGAAGGCCATATGTTGTCCCCGCCCACCACTCTCCTGCTTGTCACTCATGAAGTTTTTGTCCCAGGTGCCATGGGCTGAGGAGGGGCGGCAGATCACATGATCACTCAAACCAGTGTGGTCCGGGCTCTGCCCGGGACTCCGTTCGGGCCACTCATCAGTGAAAGCGGGCGACTCCCTCCCTGCTCTGCACCCGTGCCCTCAGGGGGTGTGGTCCCCAGGCGAGGTCAGGTGGGGCGGGACCCAGGGTTGGCTGCCAGTCTGAATGGCTCCCACCCCCAAGAACTCCCTGTGAAGCTGTGGTTGGCGCTGGTCCCGCTGTCGCCCTTCTCCCTCTGTGTCCCAGGGACTTGGGAGAAGAACCTGACAATGGGGACTCGCCCTGTTTTCCAAGCGAGCACAGGCAGGCCACCCAGAGCTCCCAGCCCTGACTCCAGGCCTGACCCTGGCAGTCCCTCAGCCCAGCTGTGTCCACAGGTGCTCTCTCAGGTTTTGAGCTGAGACACTGCTCCCCTTTCCAGTCTCCTCGGAGGAGGAGAGGACCGGGAGGAGGGAGTGCCTGTGAGTCACCTTCTGACTCATGGCGACACGGTCTGTGTGCATCTGTTAGCAGGAGGGGCCTGAGCTGGGGTCCGGGGCGTGCCTTGGCTTTCTCACAGTTAAACCCTTCAGCTCGCTGCAGCCAGACCCCCACAGAGGGACCACCTGGCCACAGCCAGGACAGGCTGGCCACCTTGAGAGATGGATACCAGGTCTGTCTTGACCAGGGGAGTGCTGACCCTCCAGAATGGAGCCCGGTGGCTGCGTGGACGGTTCTCCGGGGACCACTGGACTCGCCCCCAGTGGCAGGCTCTCGCAATGAAAGGTGCTAGAACTGGAATTCACTTACCAAACTTTTTCTTAACTGATGAGTTGATTGAACCAGTGTGTCTGGGCTCGGTAGGGGGTTTGGGATTCTACGCTAAAAGACAGAGCTTCTCACACGTTAATGTCCAAAAAACAAACAAAAAAAATCCCTGAGGATCT